CACTCCCTTTTTCCAGGCTACGGCCCCTTGACGCACACTCACATACACCAGAAGAAAAAGCAAATATGAAAACGAATCTCAGAAAAAAGAAAATCCGAAACTAAAACAAGCACAAATCTTGGAGAAATCCCCAGTCTTAAAATAGACCGGGGAATCCCCCGGGCCCTAACTTGGGAAGTTCCTTACACCTATTAAAAGATTGCTGTTGTAAAAACATTCTGCTTGCCTCTGATTGGTTGAGGTCATTTTAAACCCCGCCTCCCATCAGCTGTAAGCTGTTGAACTAGGCTAACGTAGAAGTTGACAGCAGTTGTTCTTCGATGAGTCGCGATAGAACACCTTACATGACAATGAAATTTGTAAGAACAAACATGGATAGCCGCAGCTACAATGTATTGTTGGCAGTGTGTATCATTCTTGCGTTAATCAACACGACTTTTGCAAGTAAGTTAAAACTTTGCAATTTTAATTTATTGATTATTGATCTACTAGATCTAGAGGTTTTCCGATAACTATTTTACTGGTTTGATTAAACGACGTAGATCTAGAATCTAGACTCGAGATCATGATCTGGATCAGGTGGTGCTCTGGAGATCTAGATCTAGAGGTGTAGAGATCTAGACTACGTATAGCCCACGGGTCTCGATGCCATTGATAACAGATTTATTAGATTGATTAAGCCGCATATCTTGGATTTTTATTTATTTATCGTGTATCTTTACATTGGCCCACATGGGCCATTTAAAGCGTTGTTTTTCAAAGTATTTCATACATGGTATTGTCCCAACTTGTTCCCTAACTTCTTAGCTATTGTTCATCTTTTTATTTTTAGCATTAGAGAGGAAAACTATAATTTCTCAATTAAAAATATGTGAGTGATGGACTAATTTGTTGAGCTATTTTCGAAGATGAGAGGACTTTTTGTTCTTTCTATAGCTTTAATAGTTTTTGATTAAGATTAAATAAGAAATAATAAATACGGCTATTACTATTAGCATTCTGTACCCTTAATAACACAGATGAGTTTTGGTTATCTTTTGGATTGTTGGTTTGGGAGTCATTCTAGATCTAGATCTATACTCCTTAACAATATAGTAGAAATTGGCTTACTTTCAGGTGTGAGAAGTGTATAATTATAATGTAAAATAATTTCTCTGATATCTAATGGGAATTTTTGCTGTTGTATTTTCATTTAAAATTACCATTTGTGGATTTGGTGGG